TAATCTCTTTGTAGCTCCATCAGAAACTGTATCGCTTATGGTAATGAGGCAAATATTGTAAACAAAGATTCTCCTATTGAGGCTTTGATTCACCTTGACAGGGCTGTACACACGTTCACTCCATTTCTTAAATAACATCTGCTTCTTTCTTTTATCGAGAGCTGCTTTGTGATCAATGAAGTTATCCACATCCTGTAGATATAAGAAAAAAAAAAATTTTAGTGTAAGTAGAAATAATTTTGTAATTGAAGGGCCTGGACTAACACTAACCAGCCATCACTCTTGAGCAAATAAGATCTAATCTGCCTATCGCTGGCATGTACTGTAGTTTGCACCCAACTTTTGTGCCTGTTTGTGATTTCTGATTTTACTAAATCGGGTAGTCTGTGTATAGAAAAATAGAGGTCATAGATGATATCGAAGGTTTTAAAATAGCTACCACTGGAATTGTTAATATATCAGTTTAAACAGATGTGATAATTGTGAATGTTGTGTTCATGCAGTTTGAGTGCGTTCATATCCTGATTTCAACACTCACGCATCCATGCATAGTGTAATTTTTCAGCAAGAAGGTCACGGCCTGATCCAAGTCCAAATGTGCCCATTGGTCTATGATTGTCTATCTTCCTTACTTGTTTCAGAGTGATGGCTCTTTGGGGGTGTTACTTACTTGTCTCCTTCGCAGCCATTAATAGGGTCGTCACGCAACGCTCATGTGGGGAGGAGCGTTGCATGACGACCCTAATAACGGCTGCGAAGGAAACTAGTTGCTTACATGCATATACCAGTTTGAGATTTAGATGTACTGTTTGACTTTTCACAACATGGAAGATGACACTTTCAACCAAGATTATTAATATAATTTGTTAATTTTGTTTATTAATTTTGTTTGGCACGACAGAAGCACAACATTTGAATCGCTGCTGAGCCAGAGTCATGTAGCACAGCAGAGCTTGTCCAACTTAATTCCAAAGTTTGATTCAGACACCGTGCTTCTGTCGTGCTTTTGTCAAACTTAATTCCTCAATTTAGTTTTGCATGGCAGAAGCACAGCATCTGAACTGGGCCTTAGACACTAAATCAACATGTGGCCACAAACCATTTAATATTAATAATGCCCACTTTAATCTTGAATGATCTACCAGAACAGCAAAACTACAAATACTCTAGCACAGTATTTAATTAAAATTGACAAGATAGCCTTTTTTATTTTAAAACTGTGTTTTATCCTTAATCAAGATCTCTAAATAATGGGTGATTGATTTAACTTGTGCATCATATTGTTTACAAAAAACTTAGTCTGTCTGGACAATGAAATTAATAAAATAATGATGTACTCAATTATACATAAGTTTCTTTGCAACACTTCTTTCACTGGACACTGCAAAATGACTAACTCCAGACCACTCCAACCGAAATGATTTTCTATAGTTGACTTCTCACAAGTGTGATAGTGTCCTCCCTAGAGACCAAGTCTCTCATAATATATTATGCTAATTAACACCTTGTAGTCAATAACCGTCTTTACAGTTATCTCCACTACAACAGAACTAAGCCCCAACCAAATACATTGATCATTAAAATGGCTGAAATTTCAAGACAGGGATTTACTTGTTTACCTTGACGAACGTATTCTCGTTGTCCAGAAGTGTCGTGTACATGTTTTTAGTCGCCCGTGATTCAAAGTCGGTCCTTTCCTAAACAGAAAGAAGAAAAAAAAACTATTGTTTAACACTACTGGTGACGACCTATTCTCTTTTATTTTCTGGTCTGTTCTGTATGTTTAAAAGGTAGCGGGAGATAGATAATTGTTTTTCTATCCTTGCTGTGACGAGTTAATAATTAAATGTTTCGTTAATTAGATACAAGTAAATTCTTTTGGAAATATGTATCCCACAAGAATTTCTTTCGTATATTTGACTTTGGTTACTTTCAGGGACGCCAGAATTTTGTTACGAAAGCAGGCGATATCAAAGCCGACAGCTGCAGCTTCCTTGACGGTCAATATTCTCTATATTCTCTCTCTCTCAATGATATGCATATTAGGAACTTAAATGTTCCCAAGTGGAAACTCTCTGAACTTAAACTGCTTAACTGTTAATTGCAAATTTATCCAGAATTTGTAGCGATTAAACTCCCTGAATCAATTAACGGTAACATTTATTCTGTACCTGGATATTTCGGACGGATTTTTCGTTCAGCCAACTCTGTATTCTAAACGTGTGGTCGGAAGGACAAGCTGACTTAGCGCTGGCAGCCCTTACTTCCGAGTGATCGCCCAAAGACTTCGTTCTCTCGACTGAAGACGCCGAAGCCGCTCGTCTGTGATGATCCTGCGATAATAACAACGGTTTAGATTAGAACTAGAACGTGGTTATAGCTCGTGAGACAAGGACCAGTTTGTCTCCTGTCAAATATACAATACAAGCGGAATTCAAACACCGCGATGACTTCACCTTCGCTATCTCATGTTTATCCTTATCGTCCAGTAGCTCGTCCAGGATATCACAAGTGTGCACAGAAATACGCCCATTCACGGGGCGCTTTGGCCGGGACATCGCCGTGCTTATTTGCTGCTTTGATGACTTTCTGTTCTTATGAGAGCTTCCTTTCTCAAACAGACTGACGATCAATAACAGAGTCACCAACAAGTCACAAAATATCGCGGCTTGAAACTTCACGTGTAAATTATGAATCGTTCCCTTGACAACGTATCAGCTGTGTATATGATCTTCCTTTTATGCTAGGGGTGGGTGAGTAAACTTGGGTAGCTCACCTGTTTGTAGGGAACTGCCTCAAAACTGACTTTGAAAAATTGAAAACCAGCAAAATAAGAAACTAATTGTCTACTTGTTACAGGAAAATATTGGTAAAAGCTGTTTGCTTCTGCTGCTTGACCCTGCGATGGAATTTCTTAGACACCGATGATTTTCTTCCCTACTATACCCCCATCAGTACTTTTTGCGTTATGGTCCCCCTGAGCTGAGAGGTTGATAGAGTTACTTCAAAGCGATTTTTAGCGCTTCAAAATGTGGAAAGGGCCAGGATTTTGTGTGGTTATGTTGTAATTCTAACACTAATTGAAGAATGAATCAACTTCAAAGCCTTCTACACGACTCTTTAATCGCAACTGGTCACGTTCAGCACTGCGCCATCATTCGAAGAAAAGACACTTCTCTCCGGGCAAGCACAGTTGGGTTTTCGGTAAGGCTAACCCACAAGTAACTTTAGGGGAATAAGTCGGATAGAAAGAGGATCTATTTCTGTCGCTAGTTGAGTGAAACCCTTTTGATAACCCAGAACTAGTGCAAATGATATGCTGTGCCGTAGGCAAGTCTAAATTATTGCCGCCATTTTGCTTGACAAGTTCTGGGATGTAACTTATGCCGAGTCTTCCGAGTTACTAGAGCTAACGTGAAGCTAAATTTTCCAAAGTTTTATATCTCGAGAGCTGAAAGTTGACCACCTGTTGCGGAGAACGGGAAGTATATATTGCATAAAACAGAAATATGGCATAGATGCTAAAGGAAAATTCTATAAATGTGAAACTATAATTTCCCCCCAGCTTGAAACTGCATGCATGCATGCAGAGGGTGAGAGCTTATTCTAAGCGTACCTGGAGGCCTCTTACTTGTTTAGGATCCCGCAAAGAATGCTAGCGAGAGGCGGGGCAGGGAAGAGTGAGTTTATTTTAAGAGTCATGTTACCAGTTCAGCAACATTTATAATTCAGAAGAACCTGTAAAATTTAAGCTGCATGCTCAAACATTTGTAGTCCATGAAGGAAGATACTCCACAAAGTGTATGAGTATGGTGAGGGTTTGAGGCCCAATCAAAATAACATTTTTTCTATCACATTTTAGATCTCAACCAAAACACCAGCCTTGTGCCCGAAGAGTGACTTCATTCCCCTTGATTGATTGATTGATTGATTGATCGATCTGGGAGCAAGTGACCCAGTGGAAACAATAAAATTGGAAAATCCAAAAATATCAGACATCCAGTTGAACTGCACATGCTTAGCTGACAAGCACTTGCTGCATTCAAGTCCCCGGTCACTTCCATTGTTTTCAAACCAACTAGGCCTGAGCTAGGCATGCACAAATTATTCAACTAGATCAGATACATATTCAGATTCAAATCATAACTTCTCAGGGTCACTTGCTTCCCACTCACTGGTCAAGATTCTGGGCACAAGGCTGAACCCAAAATTCAAACCTAGTTTCAGACCACTCAAATCAGTGTGTGTCTCTTGGATAATTTACCTACATGTAATGTGCCTAGAAATGCCGTCTGGATTAAATAATTGAGATTCCCAAATTTCTGATGGTAAAAGTAATTATTTACATTATTTTCACAAAGACAAATGTCAAACTCCAAACCCCTTGGGACCATTCTATCCCTCCCCCTCTCCTTTCCTAAGTGTGCCACATTTGACAGATAATGATTTTGTACTATTTTGTATAATTGCTTGTGCTCATAGCTGTTCTTTGTTTATTTATCATTGACTGCTGTCATCATTTCAGCCCTCTTTGGACAATATACATGCCTTGGTTCATTCATTTACAAACAGTTCACAGGCCAGAAGGGAGGGTCTTAAGTTCCAGGACATAGTTTATGAATGTGTCAGGGCCGACAGATTCTCTGTGTATGCCAAGCATGTAAGTGTAACTGGTAACTGTGGTGCTTGTATTGACGTAGAGGATTTGGCCAGGCTACAGGTCTGTGAGACATGTTCATGTACTTGAAACTTTCAGCAAATATTATCTTGTAATAATTATGGCAAGGCCAGTTCTACTCTAACTTACTCAGTCTTTGGACCATAGCAATGACTAGACTTTGGTTTACTTTAATTTTATGGGAGATAATGGTAAGATAATGCAAACAATAAGACCTAGTGGCACACACTGCGGGACTTTGATTCCCAGAAGGGGTACTCCCCTATCATGGACTCGATATGGGGTGGCTCCACCTGAAAGGAGTCCTTTCTCAGGCTGAGGGCATTTAAAAGGGTAGTTCATGAGCTGAAGTATAGAAAAGGATACTATAAAGAAAAACTGTCATTTAGGTGTTCAAAATACCACGTACAGAATGATATATTTATTTAGTGACAAGGTTTTTTGGGTTTCAAATTATCAGTTTGGGGACTAATAATTATAAGGAAGAATGTTTTTTTTTTTTTGGTGAACCTCTTTTGGGTAGAAAGATTTCTGCAGGAGGACATCTTTATGATCGGTTTAAGTATATGATTGTAGGCATTTGAAAGGTGTACCATTTTCTATGGAAGATATACTTATAAAGCTTTGCATTGTTCCCCTTCCCTGGCCTTTGTAAACTGTAAAGTGTCTTGCCAAGGAAATAATCTTATGATTCAATTCTCTGTATATTTAGGAAAGCAGTGGAATTATATTGGTGAGGACAGCTACGCTGTTGTTGGTGGCCACTTACACCCCAGATATGAGTCCAAGTATTTGTGTGGAGGCTGTTGAAAAACTAGGTAAGTTTGATTTAAAATAACGTGTACATGTAGATGTATAGAGAAAATAAAGCCTGTAACTTATATAATAAAAGATATTTGTTAGCCATACTGATATGGAGGCTGCCAGAATTAAAACTGCAGTGGTTGTAAGAAAATGTAGGTTCTTTAATTATAGAGATCTGATTGTCATGTTCTTTTTCTGTTGCAGCTGACTATTTCAGGGAAAAGGGAAAGTGAACCATCGACCAGTAGCTAAATGACTGCATAATTTATATTCATTAATATATAAAGTAAAAAAATTACCTGGTGGTCGTGGATCAATCCTAAGAGATTTCTGGAGGTTTTCTACAGCCTGTCCATGGACTGTTATTCATTAAGAAGAAAGATGGTCATGAATAACCAACTAAACAATTTTCATGTTGTTTTGCAATGTGCAGGATATTTAAGCTTAATATTTCTTTCACAAAGAATGTTTACAGCCAGTTTTGCTTGGTTATGATCATTTACAGACAAATTTAGTTCTTCTCAAGAACAAAGAGTGAAAGTTATATAATGGCAAAATAGTATAACGAACTATTAATATGTTTGTAGTGTTTTATACAAAAATAAGACTACACCCAGAATTTTGATGAGCTGCACCTTGTTGACTATTTCTCATACAAACTGAGAGTGAGTAATTTACCATTCTCATCCCCAGAGCCCACGATCCTTCTGGCCTGTGGCAGGGATCAAGAGCTCTGGGCTGGTCCGACACCAGAAGTCCGCAATTGGCAAATCTGATTGGCTGAGAATACCAAACAAATACTTCGCGCATGCTCAGAAAATCGGGTTCAACCAGAGCTCTGGATCCCTGCTGCAGGCCAGAAGGATCGTGGGCTCGGGACGAGAATGGTAATTTACAGGCATTCATCAACTGAAGGTAAAAGGTAAACCAGCATCAGGCCAAGAGGCCCATACAGCTGGAGCTTATTATGGTTTCTGTAGCACTAAGCAACTAGAGGTAATCTACTCCCCCTTGGATGCCGGATGTTAGTGTATTACAGGGTTATTGCCCGGCATTAAATTTGTCAGTACAACCATTTTTATATTACTTATTTTTAAGCCAAAACTCAGGAATCTTATTCCCTTTCAAGAGCAGCACACAGGGTAATGTTCTGACTGCAAACATGACAGTGAAGAAACAGTCAAATTCTTTGACTTCAATAAAACAAGCTGAGAACAGATCTGCTACATGTACTATTCAAATCCTAAACATGTCCAGAAAATTGAAAATTTCTTTTATTAGTGTGGTGCTAACCAACCAAGAAAATACTTTATTTTTCCACACTTGATATAAATTTTAAATTTAACCTTAAGCTTGTTTACGTTTACACAAATCCTTGATAAATTTAATTACAAGTGTAGGTTTAATTTCTCTGTATACATGTATATTTGTACTATCTGGTTCCTATTTGCAATAAGAAAGGTGTTGAAAAAATAACAGTGCAAAAGATCCTAGGTTGAAAATATAATGGTGACGCAGCTCCTGAAAAAAGGTAACAGCTCATTGAGGTAATAATTTTTTGGTTACAGAAAATATTATGACTCTGTGTACAAGCCAAGGGTCTACTTGAATTTCTGCCACGTCTTCTGACCAGAAGAGGTACTGGCTGACACTCAGGCTTTAAGAGGTGAAATGTCAACAAGAGTCCTAACAAACTGAATTTAAAGCCACCACTGACCCCCCCTCCCCCCTCTGCCCCTCCCTTTATTCCATTACTGCGACTACTCAAACCTGGCCACCAAGAAGAAAACTAACCAATCAAAATATAAACTGAGAACAATGGACTGGTAACTTCTTGTGACAGCAAGTAATGGTCTATGGACTCCTCTGCATTATATAGAGAGATTAAATCCTTGATGCAAATTATCATAAAAAAAGTTAGCTTGAAAACTCATTTTGCCATAACTAAACCGAAAACATTGAAAAGTGTTCAAAATTTAGGATCAAATTTAACCAATCAACAAATGGCAAAGGTTCCTGAGAGGTTTGCAACACCTCGCACTTTGTCGGGCTTTCAATTTTGTTAAGATCTACTGTTCGCATTCTTTAATGTTATTGGTTTGTTTGAGAAATAGATCACTAGCTTTTGTTCCCAAGTAATGTTCTGATTGGTTAACTCTTTTCCACATGGGGTGGTTAGAGTAGCCGCACTATATAAAACCAGAACTGAAAAAGCTACAAGTAAATGGGCAGCCTGTATGCACTATTCTCGAACTCAATCATAATTCATCAAAATCATGACCATGATGGTGTTTGGATATCTGATCTTAATTAGCAGTGATTTTTATGATTTTATTTCTCCTTTTTCTCCTTAGTATTAGTTTTGATTGAGAAGATGTATCAAACACTCAAGACTGACGCATCATATTTTCAAATCTCTTTTCAGTGTTTAGAAATGTGGTCAAACACAGTCTTTTGTGTTTGATACATTACTTCTTGATCTATTCACTAAGAATAGCTGTTAAGTAAGATGGTAACCCAGTCAACGGATAGTGAAATGATGTCTAAACCACTGGCACAACTTAGTAAATGTGAGAAATACCCCTAACACTAAAGTGAAGAATATAAGAAGAAAAAATATAAACCTAACTTAGCTATTACTAATACCACTCTGACTGGCACTGTTTTACCAAATGCACTCAAAACATTATTACAAGCAAAATAGTCACCTTCCCATGCCAGTACACATCCCAATAAATTTCCTAGATGAAATTGTCTAAATGCCATTGTTATTCGTGCCGCTTAGCTGCAAGCGTCAGTTCACAAACTATGATAACTCTTGTTTCTGCTCTGCCACCACTTGAATACCAAAACAAAGATGACTGCAATGACTATTCCCAAAATTATTCCTCCGACAAATGAGGCTCCATCAAACTTTCTTCCAGTAGTCTGCTTGGAGGGAACCGTTGATGTTGGTGAGGATGAAGTCGTGCTTGTTGCAGTAGATACAGAAGTGGCTGGTGTTGTCGCAGTGGGTGATATACTGGTTGCTGCAGAGGTGTTTGTAGCATTTGAGATAAGTGTAGTAGTTGGAGTAGTAGTTGGAGTAGTAGTTTGACTAGAAGCAACTGAAACAACAAAACAGATCAGTAATTTGCATGCATTTATTAATTCATTTATTCATCAAATTCAATACTTGTACAGTCCAACTTGCTCTAATGGCCACCTCTCTATGACAGCCACCTCTCTACAATGGCCACTTTGGCAGACAGTCCCTGTCCCCAAGGTGGCCGTTCTGGAGAGGTTTATCTTAACTGTTCAAGGTTAATATACAGAACCGGCCTGGGCAGATGATCCTTTGAAAAATACAAATATGTCTTGCAGAACGTTAGTCAGATTTCACGGGTATCACTGCATTGAGTTTTTTTGTAAAGCCATCTTGAAGTCTCAATTAATAACTCAGGTACCCATGGGCTGGTATCCATTCTAGGCACTACTGAGACACACATTTACTTGATGAGAATGAGCTGGTATCAAGGATCCTGTTTATCGTGTGCTTACAAGTGTATGTTATAATGCCCATGTTCGTGTGCTCTTTCTTACTTATCTATGTAAAATACTTGTGCCTAATATGCTTTAATGTGCGAACACAGCACACATCCTGACATCAAAAATATAAATCTTCCATTTAAAGGATTGGCACCACTTGTATAAGATTTTTTATTACAGCTCTCAGTTACTACACCCACTGTGCTTGGTCAATTTAGCGTGCTGTATTCTATTGTACAAACTCCTAAAATTTAAAGCTGTTTCTGTCACCAAAATGTCTTGAGACCACTACACCTCCAGGCATTAAAATGTGCTAATAACTTATTTACAATAATTTTGAATAATTGAGTTATATATGAGATAATTGATAATAGATAATTGACTAATATATGTAGTTGTGCCTAATATACTTTAATGAATGAAAACAGCACATATCCTCACATCAAAAATATAAATCTTCCATTTAAAGGATTGGCACCACTTAATTTGTATAAGACTTTTTATTACAGCTCTCAGTTACTAAACACACTGTGCTGGGCCAATTTAGCCAGCTGTATTCTACTGTACAAACTCCTAAAATTTAAAGCTGTTTTTCTCACCAAAATGTCTAATCTTGAGGTCACTGCACCTCCACACATTAAAATGTGCTAATGACTTATTTAACAATGATTTTGAATAATTGACTTGTTTTGCTTCCGATGTACATCAGTCATTTAATGTCTTGGTGTCTTCCTGAACCCTTCAGACACAGTAGATAAATATTAAATATCTTGAATTGCTAACCTTGTCTTCATGGTCTGTACAGTAAGTTACAGATCCACATTTCACCCTTGGACGATAAATCAAAGTGGGAAAGACTTGTCCATAACTTACTTTATTATATGGCTAGCTCTGTGAATGGGCACAATAAACCAAATCCTGTGCTGCGATTGGCATAGCCCTATCTTGCCCGCTCAGGACTACCAGCTGTTTCCCACAAGAAAAAAATTTCCCCCAAATCATTTATTGACCTTGTATTGCTGGCCTTACTCATTTGTTTTTGTTTTTGTTTTTGTTTTTTTTTTTCTTTTCAAGTTTACAGACCTCAACTCCACTTTGGCCCATAAACATGCAAAATAAGAACTCAGCCATTACATCCAGCCATCTTGACCTCACGCTTGTATGGTCAATAACCCATATTGTAGAGACCTCGAACTCAGTTAGTAAGAGGTAGTGTGATGTCTTGCGGGACTTTATCAACTAAATAAATGTAGATGTAGATGTAGAGGTAAAAAACATTTATAAATGTGACAAACTTAGCAATGAACATTAACATTTTTTAAAAGTGTTACTGTGTATGTACGTTGTCCTGGCCTATTTAAAACTTGATCTGAATCAGATTTTCGAAGTTTATTTTGAGGAGACTTAAACATCCGCGCATTTCGTCAACAGCAGTGTTAACTAAGCTATTTAACTGAACTGCACAAAAAATACAAAGGGCCTCCAGTCTGTAGTGGTTTTGTTAAGCCCCATGCGAAATCAACTTGCACAGGTGTAAGCTTAAATATGTCACAGCTGTATTTAAAGCTGGTATACGTAACAGGAGTTAACACTCGAGTCGTGCAGAGGTAATTTTATATATCGTGATAGTTTAGCAGTAATTTTTATTAGCGTGTCAAAATATTTTACGTTTGATTTACAATATTTTGAGCGTATTAATGTAGCTTTCTATTTTTTTTTTATGTTTGTTTTTTTTGCCCAACATTTTGCAGTGCAACTTTCACCGAGATCTCGATGAAGTAATTTTGATGATGCCAAAAGCAGCACCTAAAAGTCGCACAATTCAGCAAACCGTCAAATTTTGAAAACGGAATTCAGAACGCCGCCGAATCGAAAAGACGCTAGAAACGGTTCACACTACAAGGGTAAACATGTGCAGGATCTATTGTGCCTTACCTGTCCACGTCCGAGACATAAAATACACAATCAGTAACAATGCCAATACACGCATCTCTCTTCTCAGTCCAGGGATAAACATCATCCTTGCTATGAAACGGATCGTAGTTATCTGTAGGACGACAAACTTCAAATCAGGCTCTTCTTCGAACGAAGACCAAATCTAGCCCTTGAGGGAGGGGGAGGTGTCCCTTGCTCGACCCAGAAAAAAGTAAATAGAAAGAAAAGGAGCGTGTCTCCGCAAATTCAATTTCTTTATTTAATTCATCTATGAGTCTTTTGATACAATGTGCTTCGCCACCCAAAATAGTAAAATAAACTCAACGCAAAAGGTAAAAAAGCTGGTGACATCTCCCCACCGGAGTGGAGTAATTGGCGTTGCCACGTATGAATGCCGGCCCTTTGCAGCTGGGGTCACGTGACCAAATTTTTTCGAGGAAATTTTCATATTATGGACTATAACTTAAAGAATGCCAGAAATGGAAAGAGCGCATCGAAAATACCAAAATGGCCAAGTTTGAGGCCCCTGG